CACACACACATGATCTCAGACAATCTTGTAACATCTCTGAGCTCCAGTTTTTCCCTCTGGGAACCCAGGAATGAAATATCCTGCTCACCTACTGCCCAAGTTTGCTATGAGGCTGAAATGAAGTTACAGGTCAGTGTTCCTTGATCAGCTATGATGCTGAGGACACCCCGCTGTCCTTCCCCTCAGGGTCCCGTAGGGCAGAGGGAACACGTTCTGAGGCTTCAAACCTTGTCAGAGACGTTGGGTTTCATGCAGGCCAGCTGGGAAGCTTCGGCAGAGAAGGAAGGCATTTGCACAGGCAGTTTTTAAACACAGGGAACGTGGAGGAAATACCACACAATTTATGGATGAAAGCTTTAAAAAGAAACACAAGACTTAAGTCAAAACAGTTGACTCAACTCTAGGGGAGGTGTCTGCCTAGATCTAGGAGACAAAAAAGCTAGAACTGGAGTGGGTTGAGACAGAGGGGTGTCCCACTGAGTGGGGTAAACGGACACATTGATACACAGCTGGGGGCAGGTAGCCAACTGCCTCTCTAGAGGGTATCACCTACTAGCATTTTTGAAATTCTACTTCTGAGACTGTCACTTGGGTTATCCTCACAGTAATATGTATAAGGATGTTCACCAAAGATTCATTTATAATTGGGAAAACTTGAAAACAGCTTGAATGCCATTTAACAGAGGAGGGACCTGTATGAATTACAGCACAGCCAACCAGGGGAATTCCAAGAAGCAAATGATGCATGTGTCTGTTGTTGTTTAGTTGTTGTGTCTAATTCTTTTTGAGACCCCTCCGCCATTTCCTCCTCCAGGGGATCTTCCCAACCCAGGGATTGAACTCGAGTCTCCTGCATTGAAGGCAGATTCTTTACTACTGAGCCACCAGGGAAGCCCCATATGTCTGACTATGAACATGGAAAGATATTCATCATAAGGTGAACGAGAAAGGCCAGTTGCACATGGCATGGATATGATGATCTTGTTTTCATAAAAACTAAAAATATACCAGTGTTTGCATATGTGTAGAAAAAGATAGTGGGGGACATAGACAAATTGGTTAACAGAGTTTATCTCTGGGAGTTGGGATTATAGACTATTTTTTATACAGTTCTGTAGAATTGGTTGTTCGTTTTCTATTTTGGCTGCATTGGGTCTTTATTGCAGTGCTCAGGCTTAGTAGCCCTGAGGCCTCTGTGATCTTAGTTCCCTGACCAAGGATCAGAGCTGAGTCTCCATCCTTGGAAAGCAGGTTGTCAATCAGTGGACCACCAGGTAAGTCCTAAGTTGGTTGTTTTTAATAGATATATATTGAAAAGAAAATATCTTGAGAATCAATTCAGTTCAGTCATTCAGTCATATCTGACTTTTTGTGAGAATAAAAAATCTAGAGAATAAAGGCCTAATATTTAATGATGGTATATATTATGGCAACAGTTTCCTCCTCATTCTGGAAAAATCTCAACCAACATGTCCCTGCATTGCATCACAGATACCCAAACTATAATACATCCTTAATCATGTTACTCTACTGATGCAAAGCCTAAAACCTCTCGTGTTTGACTCTTCTGTTCCATCCGGATTAATTACTGTCCACAATTCACTGAGTATTATCTCTGTTCTGAGGCGAGCATAGAAAGGGGGTGATGATCTCTCTACAGCATTTACAGCTTCCACAAATCACAAATCACACACAAAGGACTCCAGAAATACTAGTTGAGGAATTAGTTGGGCTTCCCTCGTGGCTCAGATGGTAAAGAATCCACCTGCAAAGTGGGAGACCTGGGCTCGATCCCTGGATTGGGATGATCCCCTGGAGGAGGGCATGGCAACCCACTCCAGTATTCCTGCCTGGAGAACCCCCATGGGCAGAGGCGTCTGATGGGCTGCAGACCATGGAGTTGCAAAGGGTTGGACACCACTGAGTGAATAAACTCAGCACGTGAATGAGAGGAACTGGTGTCACTAGGGGAGGTGACCACCCCTCAGGACATCTCTGAACTGATTGCCAACATCAAAGCCATCTCAGTGAACTGGGCAGGGCCTCTGACAGGTCCATCAAAGCCATCTCCGTGGAAAGGGCAGGGCCTATGACAGTCCCACAGGTCCATAGCAGGATGGGAGGCATGTATTCTAGATGCAGAGTCTGAAAGAGAGATGAGGGCCCTGGTCTCTGTCACCAGGTGGCTGTGGGACTTTGTACCATCACTTTCTTTTTCTGGATTTCTGTTTCTTCCTCTGTAAATAAGAGCCGGGCTTGGTCAATATTTCTCCGAGCACATTCCTACGAGCACAACATCCAGGCTGTGTTCATACATGTCCCTTAAGAGGGATTCTGTGGTCTAATGTACTCGAGGAATGCTGCTATCTGCACCCCATTGTTGGAGAGTCACCATGCATATCGGTAGGTTCAAATCTCCAAGAGGTCTTACGTAAATAAACTTATGTATCAACTCACTCCAATATTCTTGCCTGGAAAATTCTATGGACAGAGGAGCCTGGCAGGCTACAGTCCACAGGGTTGCAGAGTCGGATACGACTGAGTGACTGCGCATACGCACACACATGGTACTGGTCACATGGGAAAAAAGATATGTAGAATATGGAGAGAGGACAGGAAGTCCTAAAGGGCTTGGCTGGAACATGGGGCATGTTCAGATAGGTGTAGCCGCTGGTGGACACCCAACTAGAGACGCAAAACAGGGAGGCAGGTCAAGTGGTTAGAGAATAGGCAAGGTGCTTGGAAGGAAGCTATTTGGTATTTGCATGGCTCACTCTCTTATCTGGGGCTGTTGCTCCTCAATGCATCTGGATTTAACTACCACTTGCATATTGGTGCCTTGAATGACTGACTATCACCTTTTGATAAAGAGTATGGACTTTGGAGTCATACCTCCCCTGCCTCAGTTTCTACTTCTGTAAATTGGGATTAATAATAAACATTGCCTCCTAGAGTAGCTTATGAGGATTAAGTGAGCTAATATATCTAGATGTTCTTAGACTAGTATCTCGCATATAGTAAGTACTCCATAAATGGCATTGTCAGTATTAAGGATTATTATTTGTATTTTCAGCTGAGATTCCTCTCTGACTTGACAGCTCCACTCCGGTGTCTCCCAGGCATCTCAACAGCATCAAAACCCAACTTTTGACCCCAACAGTACCCCATCTTTTCCCAACCTTCTTCATCTCAGTGAAAGGCGTTTCCTCAAGTCAGGAACATGTGGGTCAGATATGCCGCCTCCCTCCCCTTCCGTCTTCCTCCAGTCCACCAGGAAATTCTGCGGGGTCTGTCCCCAGAATAGATTTCAAACTCATCTACTTCTCTCCTCCTCCCATCCCTTCTCTAGTCTGAGCAGCCTCGTCTCAAGACGAGCAAAATCATCTTCCAAGCGGCTCCCTGCTTCTCTTTCCATGAATTCTTCACGCACGGTCAGAACAACTCTAACAAACAGAAATATGACCACACTAAACTGCTAAGTGGCACATAAAATGAAGCCCTGGCTGCTCGCTGTGGCTCTGAGCTGTCTGGCCTCTGTGGTGTCTCCTCCTTCCCCAGCTGCTCCTCCAGCTGGCCAGCAGGCCTCTCTCCAGTTCCCACAACACGGGGAGTTCACTCCCACCTTAGAGCCTTTATCTGGTCACCTTTTTGGCCCAAAGGCTTTGCCTGTGGCACTTTACCTGATGTCTCCCCCTCACCTGCGGCTCTTGGCTTCAAGTTGTCCTCCCCACATTTCCCCCCACACTCTCCTAATGGGTTATCCCAATTATTCCCAGTCACAGCCCTGTGTTCATGACCTTCACAATGCTATTCTCAATGTAAAATTACTTATTTATTTATCTACTTGTTTATTGTCTGTCTGTCCCCAGAGAAAAGTCTCCAGAGCCCAGTGCTTCTCTTTTCCAAGCACTGTAAACTCAGCATACAGCCTGGCCCCCCAACCCTTGATGAATGAACAAAAGACTGTCATGGTGAGTGAATGGCTTCCTCTCTGATACACCCTTCCTGTTACTAAAGGTGTCACCAGCTGATTAATAAGCAAAAAATAATCCAGTCCACCTTAGTCAGATAAGCTCAGAGCTAGAACAAAGGGCCCTTACACAAACCTACAGATATGCTTTTAGACATTTGAGAAATCCTCCAAGTCATGATGAGAGGGCTGACTCGAGGCAAGATCCTTAGGCATCAAGCAGGGACCCCACTGAACCCCTAGGGGCCGGGGGACCCCACAGACTAAATGACCTTGAAAAGTGAAAGCATGATCTTGAAAAGTGAAAGCATAAGTCACTCAGTTGTGTCCGACTCTTTGTGACCCCATGGACTTTACAGTCCATGGAATTCTCCAGGCCAGAATACAGGAGTGGGTAGCTTTCCCTTCTCCAGGGAATTTTCCCAACCCAGGGATCAAACCCAAGTCTCCCACATTGTAGGCGGATTCTTTACCAGCTGAGCCACAAGGGAAGACCAAGAATACTGGCGTGGGTAGCCTGTCCCTTCTCCAGGGGATCTTTCCTGACCCAGGAATTGAACTGGGGTCTCCTGCACTGCAGGCAGATTCTTTACCAACTAAACTATTAGGGAAGCCCAAATGACCTTAGTGGGATGGACTTCCTCAATGTGGGATAGATGTCTTCAATGCAGCTGGCATTTTCATCAGTCTGAAGTCTGGCCTCAAATTTTTCTGGGACATTCAGTTTCCTGACCCATATGACCATTTAATGACAAATTAATTTTTTTTAAAGCATGTTCTTTCTTTAAGAAGTACTTGTCACGATAGAATTCTATGGTTGTAGCCATTTTCTTTCCCAGCAGACCTTGTGTCAGGTCTGCTGCTGCTTCTTCCCGGGGAAGTTAACGTAAATGTTTATTGGCGGTACAGTCATGAAGAAAATTAAGTTGCTGATTCATTGCCTCACAATGAAACCCTTTGCTTTCCCCTCCTCTTCCTTCCTCTTTATAAGGAGGCACTTCTGAGAAAGAGCACACTTAGAGGACCCACATCTTGGGATATTTTCTTGGTTGCCTATGTCTTCTGTCTGCAGACTGTGGAGTTCCTGTAATAGCTGGGGGATCCGCCTTTCTCTTTCCTCTGCAGTATTAACCCCTTTAGGGTCTCTGAGGAACAATGGAAGTCTTAGGGTTCTTCAGGCTGGAAGTGAGTGGCCCCATGGTGACGGTGGCCCTGTCCGTGGTCCTCTTGGCCCTCCTGAAATGGTAAGTGCAGCCAGTATGTCCCAACCACGGTGACATTGTCAGAAATAGCAGTCTCGGAGCCATGCTGGAGACAGGGTGGGGTCTGTGGGAGTGTGTTTTTCTTCCCCTCTAATCTAGAGGGAGTTGAGTATTAACACAGCTTCAGAATTAAAAGCAAACAGCCTGGTTAATCTTTTGCTCTAATGCATGCGATGGAGGTGTCAGGAAAGGCTGGTGATTCAGTGACTGAGAACGCTACACATAATTAAGTTTGAAAGAGAGGGAGAAAGCAACAGATTGGCAAGGTTTGGGCAGAAGTATTTTCTTGCATCCCCATCCTATCTCCCCAGTCTGGATTTACAGAAGATTCAGCCTCTTGGTTCTGATGACGTTAAAAGCAAAAAAAAAAATAAAAAGATAAAGGAGCTGTCCGGCGTCATGTTCTGGCAACATGCATGGGAAAGTCACTGCGAAGGGATTTCTGTAGGTTTAAAGATAAAGAGGTGGAACTAATTTCCTCGTTTTCTAATATTTGATAGAAAGGGATGAATGTAGTGTATGCAGTGCCACAAAGTCTGAGACCTGGGAGGATCTCAAATTTAAACTGGAAAGAACTCCCTGTGATCTTGTTAATTCAACAGAAGGTTTTCTGAAGTCTGACTTAATCAGAGACTGGATGTGAGGCCCCACAATATGCTTCATTTATGCATATTCACCTTGTCAGTGAAAGTTATTAAAATTACCCACTCCATCAAAAGCACCTGGATTTAGGCAGCTCTGGTTTTTGAGGGGAAAGTGGTAAAAATAATGGAGAGTTTGAGTTTGAACAGAATTTCAATTTATGTTTCTGGTAGTAATAAAGCCTCCTCTCGATTAATAACTGGGAAAGCACTTTGAAAAGCATCAAGCATTATGCAAATGTGAGGTATTATTCTTTTGGAATTTGCATAGCTGAAAATGGAATTCACGTTTGATGTTCTATGATGATGAAATTACTTCTTGGAAATTGGCTCTGAAACCCAGCTTCAGTCCCAGTGCTGTTTTGCTTTCTAACTGGTTTAATTATCTTTTGAACTTTTCTCAGTGTGGCTTATCTTGCCTTGAAACCAGCCACATGCAAACCCAGGAGCAAGTGGTACCCTCCCTCCCCCACCCTGCTCCATCCTTCCATCCATCTCGGTGTGTTTCTGCTCAGAGATGGACTTAGCACAGTGCCTGATGTGTTCTGGGTGCTCAGTAGACATCAACCAGGACCATTAACTATCGTTTAATGTGACCTAAACACAGAGGGAAATAAGTCTTTTGTGCTTCAGGTATATTTAAAAGTTCTCATGAATATGCTTATTAATATTAGTTTCTCATCAATAGTGCACTGACTGTAATTCTCTGTGTGTCCTGTTTGAGGCCCCCATGGTCTCACAGCGTCCACGTTTCTATTGTATACTTCACTTCTGTTTCTGTCTTTATTGGGTCTTTTCAATTTCTGTAGTCTTAATTTCCAGCTCAGTGCCTGGTATGTATAGTATGGCTCCGATAAATGTCTGATGAATGGGTGAGTGAATTGCATACATTAATGTTTGTGCTTGTCCTGGAAAGGGGCATGTGTCCTGAGTGATAAGCTGCTGTAACTTGGTGTTTCTAATCAGCGTAGATCAGAGTCACAGCTAATAACACCATACCATTCAGCAAGGCAGTTGTGCATTTGTAATCTATTCTGGGGCCATGCTAATAACCTGGGTCAAAGACACTGAGATTAGAGAGAGGCATGAAGCAGAGGTGGTGAATAGGAAGCCAAAGCCGACTTCTATTTGTTCTTGTGAAAATATTTACTGATTTGTTCATGTGCGCCAGGCATGGCATGAGACCCTGGTACAAGGTCAGAAAACAAGAGGTCTAGATCAGATGCCCAAAGTGGGGGAGACATGAAGACTGTGGCTGAGCTGGGTGTCTGGGGAGGATGACGCTGAAGAGGAGGAGCCGCAGCCTTGAGGGGCCGTGGATGTGGTTCTTATTATCCTGGGTCTATCCGGGGATCAGCTCAAGGTCACCATCCTTGAGTTCTCAACACTCATTTTCCAGGCAAGACTCCTGAAGTGAAGTGAAAGTCGCTTAGTCGTGTCTGACTCTTTGTGACCCCATGGACTATACAGCCCATGCAATTCTCCAGGCTAGGATCCTGGAGTGGGTAGCCTTTCTCTTCTCCAGGGGATCTTCCCAACCAAGGGATCAAACCCAGATCTCCCTCATTGCAGGCAGATTCTTTACCAGCTGAGCCACAAGGGAAGCCCAAGAATACTGGAGTGGGGAGCCTATCCCTTCTCCGGCAGATCTTCCTGAGCCAGGAATCAAACCGGGGTCACCTGCATTGCAGGCCGGTTCTTTACCAACTGAACTATCAGGGAATCCCCTAGACTCCTGAGCAACAGGCATCAGCTTGAATGAGGCAGGGCCTCCCTCCTGCTTCATTTTCTTGAAAAGATGCACGTGGGAAAGACAAGGGCTCTCAGGGAGAGCCAGGGGTAGAGAGACCCTCAGAGCATCTTCCCCCAAGGAGGTCTTGTGCAGGGTGCAGTTTTGAAGGTTTAAACTCATTAGTCTTTCCTGCTAAGAGTTCCCGCTGCCTCTGGACCAGGAGAAGGTGTGATAAGAGCCTCGATGCTGGGAAGGTAACACGAAGAGGACCGCTTCTTGCCTGCTCCACCAGCCTGGGGGTTCATTCAAGTTAGGGGTGAGGTCCCGTATCTCACTGCAGTTCTGGAAACTTCTGTCCATGACTTGCCTGTTCTGGTGTCTGCTTTAATGCAGACAGGTAAAGTGAAGAAGTACACACGCATCAGCTCAGCACTCGGGATGCAGTCTTGGGTTCTCGTCTCTTTCAGCAATGTCATCCCCCAGACGCTGACTCCATCCTGTGGGCTTGGCAGTTCTGTGAATGGTCACATGCTCCACGCATCCAGGCCCTTGTTCTTGCTGTTCTCATGCTTGGAATTCCCTTCCTCTCCTCTTTCCTTGAAGGAGCTCGGGGGCACCTCCCACTGAGTGTTCTGCTTGCCTACGGCACTGACCAGTCCCACTCACTGTGGCTTTCCTTGTTGTTCTCATCTCTGTCCCCCACTCCTCCACAATCCACACATGCAGCTGGTGCCTAATGAATGTTGGCTCTAACCTCCACTGGTATTTTCTTGCTGGCTCTTCCCTTAGGCGTCACAGCTCAATACAAGTATTAATTCTTCCGCCTACATGCATCATCCTTTTCCTATGGCCTTTTCAGTTTGGACCAGCTTGGGGTCCATGTTCTAATTGGACCCCAATAGGTGTGCTGTGTTTGGATCTCCACTCACCTTGCAGAGCAAGACTATGGCATGTACTTAAACATTCATTACGAAGTATATGTACGAATTTAGAAAGCAGGATAGAAAAGAATCAATTTCATTTAAAAAGAGACTAAACTAGGCATAGTATATTTTGATAGTTTTCCCTCAAGTGGTATTTGACACAAATTTTTTTGATGACAGTCACTAAAATTGATAGTTATGAGGCTGAACTGTGTGCACTGGGGTCTAAGGGGATCAGGGCGACTCCACTGGGGATTGGAGATGGAGCTGGGTATGTAGCAAGAAGCCCACGAAGCTCGTGATCAAAACACGTGACAAAACATCTTAAAAACTCATTTTTCTGTATAAAATTGTTTGAAATCCTGACTTTTGGAAGAGATTTATGTCCAAGAAGTAAGTGGTGTGAGTTGAATAGTGCTAGAGGCAATTTTAAGTACAATGTAATTAAACTTTGAAGAGCACCTATGAACTGGCAGCTTTTGGTAAGATGAGGATTTCTTTATTAAGAGAGTGTAAAGTGAAGTGAAAGTGAAAGTCACTCAATTGTATCTGACTCTTTTTGTGACCCCATGGCCTATACAGTCCATGGAATTCTCCAGGCCAGAATAGTGGAGTAGGTAGCCTTTCCCTTCTCCAGGGGATGGATCTTCCCAACCCAGGGATCAAACCCAGGTCATGTGGGCGGATTCTTTGCCAGCTGAGCCACAGGGAAGACCAAGAATACTGGAGTGGGTAGCCTATCCCTTCTCCAGTGGGTCTTCCCAACCCAGGAATTGAACCAGGGTCTCCTGCATTGAAGGCAAATTCTTTACCAACTGAGCTATCAGGGAAGCCCTAAGAAAGAATGTAAGGATTCCCTGTTTAATAATGTGCAAATTCACTTGCCCCATCCATACAGACAGAAAGTAGATTAGTGGTTGTCAGGAGCTGGAGGAGGGGAGATGGGAGTGGCCGCTGGTAGGTGTGGAGTTTCTTTTGGGGGTGATGAAAATGTTCTGAAAGTAGATAACACTAATGGTTACACAACTCAGTGAATATACTAAAACCACTGAATCACATACTTTAAAAGGATGAATTTTATGACATGTGAATTATATTACAATAAAAAATTCATCTGTACAGGGGAAAAAAAAGAAAAGCAAGAGAAAGAATGGAAGGAAATAGCCCAAATATCAATGGTGGTGGTTTAATTGCTAAGTTGTGTATGACTCTTGCGATCCCATGGACTGTAGCCTGTCAGGCTCCTCTGTCCATAGGATTCTCCAGGCAGGAATACTGGAATGGGTTGCCATTTCCTTCACCAGGGGATCTTTCCCACCCAGGAATCAAACCTTCCTGCATTGCATGAAGATTCTTTATTGACTGAACTACGAGGAATAGTGGTAGGATTGTGGGGTTTTTTCTTCCTTTCCTCTTTCTGCATCTTCCATATTTTTAAAACAAATATCAATTACTGAGCAAAACAACAACAAAAAAGGTTTTACTAAATAGAGTAGGGAATTCCTCCTCTGTAGCAATGAAGAGGAAAGCAGTCTTATGCTTTGAACATGGAGGTTTCAAGATATACTCTCGCTATTCCAACAATGGAGTAGAACATACAGGAGAATTTGGAATAATCGGAGAACTTCCTGGCTGATGAAGCAGTGGGAAAAGTAAACTGTGGTTGTTGCAATAAGTGGCTAAACA